AGGTATCTCCAAATTCTTTTCCACAGAGGTTGCACTAATTTGCAGTCCCACCAGCAGTGTAAGAGTGTTCCTGTCTCTCCACAACCTCACCAGCATTTGATGTTGGGAAACTGAATTTTTAATTTCATTTAACTTTAATGGCCACGTGTGGCCATAAAAAATACAAGGGGCAGAAGCACATGGTAAATGACACCATAAAAGTTTCAATCAGCAAAATCTAGACCAAACCATAGGAACTCTACAGAACACATCCAGTTTCTTCAACACATATTTGCAAGGGGAAAAAAAAGGAGAAATGGAATGACAACCTATAGAATAAAGAGATTTAAAACATAGCAACCAATCATAATACATGGGTCTTGTTTGGACCCCAATTCAAACAAACAGACTAAAAGAAATTTAATAGACAATCAGAAAAATGTGAACACTGACTAAATTGATCATATTACAGAAACGCTGCTCATAACTGCTAAAGCTCAATGGTAAGTACATAAGAGTTCATTATACTTTTCTCTCTAACCTTATATGTTTTACATTTTTCATAGTAAAAATACTAATAATTCTCTGTCAGGCCAGTTAGCCTTTAAACAAAATCTTCTTGCCTTCCTACACAAGCGGGACTATATCTCCTGTTTAAAAAAACAAAAACAAGTATCTCACGTAGTCCAAAACGCAAAGCTTTTTTAACAATATCTGTGAAGTCATTTGCCTCTTAGATAGTCCTCTTTTTTCTCCCTAGAAAGTTCTAACTTAGAAAATACTTTCTTTAAGTTTTTGTCCAAAGCCTCTTAATCCCTAGAGATGTTATTTTTCACTGTTCAGTGATTCCTTGACAAATCACTGAGCAAGACTATCAGTTAGTTTGACAATGCATGATGGCCTTCCATCCCATTCCAGACAGTCACTCTAGGGAGACAGCACATTTATTAATGAGTCCAAATACAGCTCTCTGTCCACCCAATACAAATACCAACCATCACAACTCAGCTCTCCTCAAGGCCAACAGTAGTTCTCCAGGCACCCATGCTTCCTTTTTTTATCTCAAGGAGTTACAATTCCCGCCCTCTCCCGCCCCCATACTGGTTATGTGACTATAACGGTGCAGATTATTTGTTCCTTTTTTGACATCTTGTAATTCAGTTTATTGATTTCCATGGACCACCTCCTCAGTATAGCATAGGATCCTGGCACCTATCTCTATAGAAGATACCAACTCAACCTTGGTGTGCAAAACTCGATTTTTAAATTACAGATCCTATTGCAGCATGTTGCTTTTCTTCCTCTTCTGAGTCATCATGGTGGTGACTCAGATTCAGGTTTTGATTCCTGCTTTTTCTTCTACACTACCCAAAATTCATTCTAACACAAGTCAACAACACAGAGAAAATCCTTAAACAATTTCTCTCCAAACATGGTGACAATCACATTCAGTTCACATACAATTATAGACTACAGCACCCACTCCCTAGGTTTTCATTCCTCTTAACATTGGCTGAGGCGCTAGGGAGAATTTTCTAACTTCCTAACAATCCTTGGTTATTTCTCTGGTTGGGGAAAGTGTACTTACAGAGGGAGCTGCTGATACTGAGGTCACTCCACCTTAGACCCATCACATCAGTTTTATCTCCTGTCTCAGCCAGATATCATCACAAGGCTTTTGCCAGCAACCTACTAGCAATGATTACTAATTAACAGTAGGTTCCATATCCATATACTACCAAATACAAAGACAAACTCTCAAGGATTTTAGAGAAGCCACTCAACCTTTTATTTTCTCTTAAAATTAAGTATGAGTTTATCTGTTCATAGGATTCAGGATTATTCGAAGCATTCAGTTTATAGACAGACCTGACTATTTCCCAGTCAATCAGATTCTTGTTCTTCATTACCAAAAATATAAAGTTCATTTAGTTTGAATGTTTTAAACTGTTTTATGATATGCCACCTGCTTATTCAAGGAACACATGCCAAAAGAAAACATCTATTCTAGGATAAGATTAAAAAATGTTAACATATATGTGACTTGTGGGTAGACACCCATGCAATAGGAATAAAGACTATCCTATCCCAGAAGTAAGATTAAAATAGCCCCCAAAATATACTCATAGAAGTTTAATCATTAATACTATTTGGTAGGATATTTGATCTGATTTCTTTACCAAAAAAAAAAAAAAAAAAAAACAGAGGGAATGACTTTGTCACTCCCATTGTTTACCTATGTAATTTCAAGGTAAAAAATACTCAAACAAAATGTACAGCAAACATCAGTAACTTAAGGGCAACTGTTGTTCAGAACCTTTGTGCGATGCATGTAAAAATACCTGAGAATTTTAAAACACAAAAAATCTAGGAAGAGATAAAATATCATCTGTGGCAAACACTCTTAGTTAAAATGCACCTGGAAGCTCTATATTTATCAAAGGTTTTCTGTAAGATAACAGCAGAAAGGAAGACTTCTGGCCTTTGATATGCAATAAGACAGCCCAAGAGAAAGCTAAGTGAGAATAGTAAAGGACTAAGGAATGAAGGTGTAATGGATTTAACAGTCTTCACTGTGGAGTCCATGGCTTTCAGTCATGTGGCTTATTTACTTCTACTTTTATAAAAAGAATTACCACCTCAGAACCATTCTGAAACAAGGAAGGGTATAAATAAAGACAATAAAAATAGTCCTTGCAAATATATTCATTTTGAGCCAAAAGACAATTAAGTTAATTTACTTTTGCCATTCTCCCCTTAATCATTTTTACCTTTAGGTTTTTGCATTTAAAATTTGAACTAGGTGCAAATGAAAATTTGCTCTTGTGTAATGAATGAGTTGATGAATAACACCTCCAAATTCTCTCAAGGTAGCGTTTCTGTATGTGGATGTTTTAAGCTCCATATAGGTAACAATTTTACTTTCATAACCCCAAGAATTGTCATTGATGGTGAGATAATATTTAATGTCAAGATAAACAGATACTTCATCTGTTCACGTAAGATTGAGAGCTCCAGAATGCCTCCACGATAATTAGATTTTGGTGGGTAAGGATCTATTTCACCAAGCACAGGGGTTTTCTGGTTTTGGTTTTGGTTTTAATAGTCTATTCCCAGCCCCTGCATTGCCACCGTGCTAAGATTTCTTTGTCTTCCGCTTCTATTGACTTCTCAGGTAGCTAGCTGGCTCATTTTCATTCATTTATATGCAGACTTTTTTTTTTACAAACCATAAAGCAATTCCTTCTGTATTCAGTATATGAACTCACAGACAGCAATTTACATTCTTTATCAAGTGATTTACATGTGAGGATAATTTTACTGAACTTTTAAAAAGACTTCCATTAGGAGGACCAGAGAATAGAAGCACAGCTTCTAAACAAATGGAAGTTCTCTTTGGAAGAGTGAGAGTTCTACAGAGGGAGGAACTATTATTAGAAAGACTTCCATTAGGAGGACCAGGGAATAGAAGCATGGTTTCTAAACAAATGGAAGTTCTCTTTGCAAGAGTGAGAGTTCTACAGAGGGAGGAACTATTATTAGATCATTAAGTATTCACCTTGGCAGGGTTTAATCAGGATCCATTTTCTCCCACCAGTTAGTCAAGGGAACTGACTGAGTCCTTTTGCCTACCAACCTCAAAAACAGAATGTAGAATATAATATACAGAGAGACAAGACAGCCTTGTCCTCAAGCTGCTTCTTATCTAGCTGAAGAATAGAGGAAGACATCTGTGATAAAGCTGAAGAATGCAAAACTGCACTGAACATATAATTCAGCATCCCTATTTGTCTTACCAAAAGAAAAAAAAGGGCTTTAAAAACAAGATTGCATTCAGTGGAACAAAACTGCCTTAGAAACTACTACATGGGGTGTGGGAGAAACCAAGTAAACCAGATACTCCCTCCACACCCATCAACCACCAGTCAGTTATTTTTTATGTTTTGACAAAGTAGGGATCCATAAGCGTTCTGTATGAAAAAAATATTTTGAAGTGGAACAAAAACACAAGTTCAGAAATCAGTACAGTAGGTCTCTCTGGTGTCTGTCAGTTCTTAATGCTCCACAATTTTATGATTTCTTAAACAATCAACTCTGACTTATCACTCTGCTCATTGACTTCTGATGTCTATCTTAGGATGACATTATGTTGGTTTCAGCAAGACAGCAGCAAACAGAAAAACTGAGTGGGCTTCAAATGGCCCTGAAAAACAATCAACAGAAGTAAAATATTCCCATCTTAAAGTACTGACAGTAATAAAATATTGGTCAACTGGCAAAATAACTGACTGGCAAAAGACTTGGTGAATGTAGCTGGCTACACTCCAGATGACTATTATCCTCAAATATAATTATTATTTAGCAACACTGCATCAACAGCAGTTCATCCTGTCACAAAAATCATTCTGGACATCACTTAGTAAATAAAACGTATAGCGATATTTTTATTTATAGGATGAAACCCCATTAAATGCCAACTTTTTTTTAATCATAATGATGAAATGTACACCTAAGAGTATATTGTCTGAACTTATTATAACACATGCTATCACCAAAATAGATAAGTGGAAGCCTGGAAGTATTCTTCCAAAAGTCTGAACATAGCAAATTACATTACCTAACCCTAGCCTGTGTACTCATTTCCTTTACTGTAATTCCCATGGAGTGCATCCAATATCAATCATGACAAAAGAATCAGGTGCAGAACCAAAGAATATGTTGGTTTTAGGGATCTTTAAGCAGGTTAAATTCCACCATAGGAAAAACAAAGATACTTATTAGTGAGTCAGTTACATATAGCTGAAATGTTTCTCTACTGAGTTCACCCAAGGAAAATATATTGCCATTTGGTTCAAATATGAACTATATACTGTTTCTGTTCATTAATGCCTTCAGTTCTCTACAATACAAATTGCAGTACAAATTTGAGTCATCAATCCAGAAAGTACGTACACATTAGGAATCTACCTACATGGCTACTGGAATATCTCTTTTGTACAAGCACCTATATATGTGCTACAAATAGGCAGGTGCATTCAAAGGATAGATTTGTCTTCAATCAAAGTGAAGAGACTGACTTTAACACTATTAAGTAAGCTCCTCCCCTCAACACCCACAAATGCAAAACACACACACATACACAGAGCACCACAACAAAAAACAAGAACAAAACCTGAATGATAGAAAACAATTTATGATTGGTGTTCCATTTAGTCTCAAGGAAGTATGCTCTATAGAAATTTCTCAATTATGAAAATCTCAATGCCAAATGCCTTTTAAAGGAAGAAATGTATGGCCATAATTGTGTTCTTAGAAGCATCATCACCTGACAGACGTCAGAACGGATGCCAGTTTTCCAGAATCCTTGGCTACTTAGCTCCACTGTTACTTCTCGCCTCATTGTATTCTTCTGTCGTATTTTTTGGAGTGCTTCCTAGAAAAGAATTCATTATGATGAGTAACCCAACGTTTTTAAAGCAATATTAAGCTAAATATCAAGCATTAGAAAATAAGCTAGATTCATTTAGCATTACCCTTACATTCAGGTGTGCAAATCTCTTCGCACAAAATTACAATATTTTATTAAAATGGAGGCCAGGATACTCACAGCCTTAAGTATAAGGCAGCCTTTCCCAGTAACTAGATTAGAAAAAATCTAAACCAAATCTACCATTCTGACATATTTGAACAAAATATGCTCTTTCATATGCCTTTTCTTCATGATGAAAAAAAAGAAGTCATGTTTGGGATTTGAAACTGGCATGTAAAAATTATGTTTATATCAGGCCTATGTTAAGCATTTACATCTAAGACAGTCCGTAAATTAACCTGCAAACCACGTAATTCTAAAAGTTGCCTTCTAATTTGCTAAACTCTCACAAAAACTCGCGCTACATAAGGGAACATCTTATTTTTAAAAAGACAATGATCCAAAACTTCACCTATAAGATGTAATCAGGAATTAACCCTTCCCTTTCACTGCTCTTCAAATAGTTAATTATAAAAAACAATTTTATACTTACATGCAATTTAGTAAAAACCTCATAGGAATTCACAATAACAATAGGAACCATCAACACATCCACCATCACCTCCACCATTGATTAAGCTCCTACTACAAACCAAATATCATCGGAGGAACATTATATGTAGTATTTCAGAAGTCCACACAACCACCTTTCTCCTTGTGTGCACCAACAGATGGACATTTCAGTCAGCCACTCAGCCTTAGTTCCCTCCTTTCTAAAGAGTCTGACTGGTTCAAGGCACAGTAAGTGACAATGCTGGAATTTAAATACTCTCCCTAGCTTCTTAGTGCTCTTATATTACAGCAGAATAAACCCTCACTGAGAAAAAAATCTATGTTGATAGTGAATCCGCTTATCCTTAAAATTAAAACTAAAACACAGGCCAGGCACAGTGGCTCACACCTGTAATCCTAACACTTTGGGAGGCCAAGGCAGCAGGATTGCTTGAAGCCGAGAGTTTGAGACCAGCCTGAGCAACACAGCAAGATTTTTGTCTCTAAAAAAAATACAAAAATTAGCTGGATGTGGTGGTGTGCACTTGTAGTCCCAGCTACTCGTAAGGCGGAGGCAGGAGGATCACCTGAGCCCAAGTGTCTGAGGTTGCAGTAAGCTATGATAACACCACCACACTCTACCCCGGGCAATAGAGTGAGACTCTGTCTCAAAAAAAAAAAAAAAAAAATTGAAACTAAAATATATGTGATCCTGGAATCCAGGGATATTTCTACCCATAAGTAAAGAAATATGGAATTTGGGATATAGAACCTTACAATGTAAGTTCACCCTACTAAACTGGCAGACTTTTTACAACCTTAAGACTAAGAAATCTCAGTAAGATCCAATGTTGTATAATGTGCAATCTAAGATAAAAGGCTGATTTAGCAAATTTTAAGCTTTCTTTAATTTCTATAAGAGGTATATCCGATACCCAGTGATAGTAATCCATTAAGAAACTGGTCTTTTTAGGCATAAAAATGCTCCTTTACATACTAAAAGATATAAAAAAAATCAAATCAGTATAATATTGTGAGGAAGAGATTAAAGTATGATTTTTAAAAGATTCTTCTATCTTATTCTAGAAGTATAGTATAATTCAACAATCTTGACATAAATCTGAAATGTATCACCATTAATCACGAAGGAATGGGGTTCAATACCAACCTCTCTCTGTGCCAGCTTCTGTTTGTCAGTTTGTTTGACTTTGGGACTATTTGCTAGGAGGTGGCGAAGTTTCACATAACTCTTCCACAGTTTCTGATACCTAAGGAAAAGGACAGACAAATATCTTAGACAAAGAGAAGGTGAATCTAAAGTGCAATAAAATCAGTTATTTTAATAGGTCTGCTTAATCATACATTACATTCTTTTGAATATCCTTAATGGCAGCAAACCATCATTCTAAGGAAGAATATGATTTTTGGGTTGAGGGGCAGGATGGCCAAGAATCAACTGGAACCTGGTGATTAAGTTGATTGTTGCTTATTTGGATTGAAAATCAGGTGTGACTATAAATGAACCTCTGGAAAGAATTCCAAAGAAGACACACAAAAACACTTTAACCAATGGAAACATCTCCTGTTGCTCATTGTTACCTCTTTGAAAATGACATATTTTATTTAAATATGTACTTTCTGATGTTTGTTGAAAGAAAGATCCCTTCCTTAATAGGGAGACTGTCGGTCTCTGAACTACCTACACCAAAAGTAAAAGTTGAAGAGTATTAGAATAGAGATCCCCATTTGGGCCAATACCCAAGCTACAAAGTTTCATTCATTTTTCCACTGGAGAGGGGAAAAAACAAATGGCATATACCGATTTATTTATACCATGACAAAAACAAGCATATTTGTTGTAGTCAAATTTGTTATAACCTCGACCAGTCTAAAGGATACTGTTAAAGCGTCCTGGAAATGAAGAGAATATGCAGTTCTTTATCAATTCGCAGTCCTGCCATCTGAGAGTCCACGAGAGCCTAATCACATTCTACTAACATTTTTCTGACAAAAAGGGATTTTCAAAAGATTTTCTGTCATATTAAAACTACTCCTTTCTTGGGCTTAACTTGGCCTTCACTTGGCCTCTGCTTTTTTGATAACATTTTTTTAGAGAATGGAGGAAAGAAAGAAGTACTTACACAGTGCCTGGTTCACTGCTTCATACTTTTATCCAAAGGGGGAAAAAAAAGAACAAAACCCTTTAGCCTCTTCTAATATATGTCAGCCAGAACTGTATTTATGAATTGAAAATCTCCCATTCCCTTCTCTCCCATTATGAATCCTTTTTAAAAAAATTAAGTGAGGAAACTGTTTGTTTAAGAAGGTAGGAAATCCAAACAGTCCTAAAGAATATAATGGTACTATCTCCATTCCCACACATCCTCATCTTCTCCCAGAAAAACACTAACATGCCAGTTGAAAAAACCCAAATGTGGAAAGTACATCAATCCTAAGAGTCAGAAGTCATGGATCCTACTTCGAACACAACCCTTGACTCTGCATGGGATCTTGAGTTCTTATTAAGATGCCCCCAAAAATAGAACTCTGCATAAATTCGGCAGTGCTAGGAACCAATATGATGCTACTTTCCTCTAGAGGGCACTGAAAAAATAAAAAATAATAATAATTATTATAATGACCAATAAATGAAAAGTTCCTTAAAGTTTAAAAACATACAGGACTCATGTTAACCAATATTTCCAAGGATATTCTATTATATAATAATTTCTTTCAGTCAAATATGTAGAGAAAATAATTCTTCAAAAGCTACCAAAATTGTTTTATTTGGTAACCTAAATTTGGAAGCATGGCTAATCGTTTCAGTTCTTAATTTTTAAAAAGGAAAATATCCACTAAAGGGTATTCCTCTGCTAATTCAGCTGTTAGTAGAAGGTGAAATTGGCTAAGACAAACACTGAGAAATATCTTACTGTGGGTCTCCTGCATAACTCAACTGTGCAGGGCGTATCCCAAAGTGGACGATAATCGGAAAAGTAATCACATCGGGGTTGAACTGTTCACGATCCAGTTGATCGATACGGACAGAACTTGGTTTCTAGAGAAAAAAATCAAAGCCATTTATTCCCATTAGAAGTCTTTAAGTATTGACTTTAACCTAAGTAGGGAAAAATTAATCAGATTTTTTTCTAGGAAAGCCTTGTCCCCAAAGGGAAAAGGTCATTTAAAACCCTTTAATCATAGCAGCTATACTATCCAAAAACTATAATGTCATCCCTGTAAATGAGTCTAAGCCATTTGGCATAATGAACAATGATTCTGTCCTTTTTTGCAGTCCACATAGAAACCTTTAAAAATTAAACTTTTAAAAGGACACCCAGTCAGATAAAACTTTTCCTTAACCTCTCCAAAGGCACAGGGAAAGGAGTCCACATCACAGGAAAAAGATGCGCTGGCTTGTTCTGCTTTAATTTCACATTACAAATGAATAGCTTACTTGTATTCAGGATGCACAGACAGATGCAGTCTATTAAAGTTTTTTTTTCCCTATTAGTTCTCAGCGAACCTTGTGTATTCCTTTAATTCTACACCTTTAAATTAGAAGGTATGGCGGTACAAAGACCAAATAGTTAATAACCTTCTCTTATTATGTCCATGTAGGACATTTTTGTATTTTAACAGAGAGCCTCATATGGTTTTTTTCTTCATGTCTAACAAAGAAAGAAGTGAATGGCTCATTCCTTCTGGACCATTTGTGAAATGCATTTCATCCTGAAAGCTTAAATTGGTGAAAAAAGGTAAAACCGAGGAGAATATGTTTTAGCAACCTCCTTGTTTATAATCAACCCTCAGGGCAGTCCCTAGTTAGAGAGTCAAATCTTACTAGCAGATTGGGGGCTTTTCGGCTCAGTTGCTTTAGAGGCTAAGGCTGTAGGACTGATTCACACAAAGGTCAATAAGCTTCATTCTGTCCCACAACAATGGCCAACAACTATAGTCTGGTTGGAGGCCTGATTTGTTCAGGGCAGAGCAGTTTCAAGCTAAAACCAGGAAAGTCCCCAGCCACTGGGACAAGCTCGTCACCCTACCTACAACTGTAGCCCTGGTCAGCCATCTGGCAAATCCAACTAGGTGACAAAGAAGATAGATTCGTGTGAATTTGTCCACATTAGTTAGAAAACAACTCAAACTTACAGTTTTCAAAGAATATTTAAATGTCATTTAATAATCAAAATTTCACTAGTATCCTGAAAAGTTGGCCTTTGCTCTCAAAATTAAAAATGCAAAACATTTTGTTCACATGCAACCTAATAAAAAATTATTTAAGTGCCCATCCACAGTAACAACATGTTATTTAGGTCTAAGAATTGCTTTCATTATTTTGTGCATCAAAACAGCAGGCTACATTTTTAAAGGAGGAATTGTGCAATAGAAGAATGCTATTGAATTATTCATGTTTCTGTGATTTTAAACACCATGCTATGGTATCAACAGAGGAAATAGTGATTTAAAATATCCACAGTATCTTTAAATTTGAGGGTGGTGGGGAATGAAATAAGTTCTAGACTTTGGCCACACCCTATAACATTTATCATACCATCTTTTTGTAAGGATAAAAAACATTCTCACTAATGACCAAAGTATTCTCTGGCAGAGTCAAAGAGCTTAGGGAGAAAGATTAATTCCTTTAAGTTTTGCAGCAATAAAGTATTTAATATGACCATAATGGCTTGAAAAATTTAATAAATTTCCCAATATTCTTGCCATTGGGCAATCTTTCAAAGCAAGTACCACAGAAGATGAAACATAGCGTCATGCCTACTTTGTCCTCGAGTAACTTGCACACTTCCCAAAAGAATGTAATAAAAGGCTGTTTGCATAATACTGAGTTTTCAGGATTTTTTTCCTTCTTTAAACATATCTAGATAAATACTAAAAAAGAATTAACTTCAACATTTTCCTAAGCCTGACACCCAAACTTACCTTTCCTAATTTATTTCTGATTATTTTCCAATATAACCTTGCATCCTGACTAGTCTGGTTTCCTAACTATCTTCAAAACTGGCCTTACACCATCTCAAGTATGGACATTTAATCATGACAATAATTTATACAATTTCTCAATTCCTTAGAGACGTTACTGCAAGACTTATGAAGCATCCCTGGCAAGCTTGGCCCAGTGATCTCTCCTAAAACTACAGGCTTCACTGACTGGTCCATTGGCTCAACAATTCATCAAAGACTCCTTACATATGTATACACCTTGGGTTTCCACCTGGGCAAGCATCATATATAATAAACAAACTTCACCGGCACCTGGCTCACATACTAGTCCCTCAACAAATTAGTTGAATGGTGATCATGGTGACAGCAAATGTTATCTATGCCACTGGTTCTAAAACAAGCAATGGATGAATTAGAAGCACCTGGGGATTTATTTTTAAACTACAGATTCCTGGGCCCCACTGCCTAAAGCATACAGGATAGGGTCAGTCAGGGCATCCTACAGTATTTTTTAAATTTTTAATTTTTTAAAAAGCTCTCCAACTGATTCTTGGATTTCAGGAAAACTTAACTATGCCATAGAAGGAAACCTAGGGTGAACATGCTCCCAAAATGTCTACTGTAGAACATAGAACTCTTCAAGTGGAACAACCAAGATGAAAATGTACATCTCGCACCATCACCCCATCCTCTGATCCAGCTCTAAACCTGAGAGGAGGAATATAAATATATGTAACTGCTTAAAGAAGAAAATTAAAATTCGCAATCTTACTCTCATAGTGCCACTATTTACATATTCCTTTTAAAGTTACTTTAGTAATTGTTTATGTGGCTTAACAGTAAAACTGTAAAAAATGTATGATTTTCTGGTTTTAAACAAGTTTAATGTTTAAACATATTTTTATTAAACAATTTCATTTTCTGGATTTGTTTAAAATAATCCATACTAGCTGGAATGTTTCATTTGCAAATAGCAACATTTTGTTTGTGCAGATGTTCCTGTCATAATGGATCCAGAGTTTTTATTTTATGAACCAAGGCTATTAAACAATTGGCAGCTCTTTAAAAAACAGCAGCTTTGTTTAAATAGATTATTCTGTTTCTTTATATGGAAATACTTTAATTCTCCATTTCTGAAAATTTTTATACTGATAAGATGCCAATATATAACTATTTTATGAAACAAAATATTTTAGAGAAAAAATTATCTGATATAAAGAAAATGCTAATTTTATATAAGAGAACTGGTTATCTTTTAATTCTGTTTTTAATTTTTATATTTTTGCTTCAAAAATTAACATTAAAAGTTTAATTTTTAAGATAAAAGATTTAAGAAGCAAATAAAAGAAATGAGAAATATACATAATAATCATGGTAAAGGATCAATAAAAAAGGACAAATCAGCTAGTAAGCAATTATCAAAAGAAAACATGAATGGCCAATAAACATTTAAAATATCAATTTTCATTAGAAACCAAAATAAATACAAACTAAACTAAACAATATATTTTTGCCCCTATCAAATAGGCAAAGTTTTTTCCTTTAAACTGATATAAGCAGGGAAGTCGGTACTCTCATATGCTCATAGTCAGAGTATAAATTATATAGCCTTTCTGGAAGGCAATTTGCTAAATGCATTAAAATGTGCAAATATTCAGACAATAAATTTACTAATCAGGTGAATTTACTACTAAATATGCCTAAATTATAACATTTTTCTTATTTCCTAAATATTTAAAGGAAAAATTACTCACAAGGGCAAGAAGCAATGAGTACCTAAAGCTTTTAAAATGTGCTATTATCATTTTTGTGAAATAGTCAAACCTGCAAGAGAAGGTGATTGAGCCACTGAATGTACAGACACCAGAACATACCGTCCCAGGGTTGGTGACAATCATGCCTTTGCATTCTTCTGCATATTTCTGCCACTCAAGCTCCTCCCACTGAAGCATGTTGGCAATCTCCTCCTCGGGCACCAGGGCCTTGCTGCACCGAAGCAGGTAGAGGAGGATCTGGTGCATGGACAGCACTTCCTTTCCTCCATCTTAGGTGGCAGTGGAGGGTGGGGGGAAACAAGGTAAGTTACTCAGTTAACAGCAAATCATCAGCTGAATAAGGAAAAACAACACAATGGGGGGAAAAGAGCATGTATAAAAAGGTAATTTAAAATTTACAGTTTAACTAGGTGCCAAATAATATGAAAGCCATTCATTCCATTGATGAACAGTGCTCATAAACCATCTCATTTACTAAACTGGCAACAACAACATTATAAATGATAAAAGGCTCCATTTGTGAGGTATGAATATAAAAAAGGTGCTTACCTAAATAAATTTAAAACCACCTAGCATAAAGAACCACAGTTTATTATATACAGAACCATGTTAAGTCTTAAATATTTTGTCATTCTTTCTAGGGAACAGACGAAAGCTCTTTAGAAGTGATGTTACTGTCTTAAGGAAATTCTAAGCTTTTATGAGATATTTATGGATGTTTTCAATAAGCTATTGTTGCATTATGGTCTAATTTTTTGGTGCTAATGTGCTGCACGTGCCATGATGAATAAAGAGTCTGTACTAACATCAGAGATCATTATGGCGTTAATACATGGAAAAAATACTGAGTGTTTGAGGCTTACAGAAGCATATATCATCAAGTACAGGGGATAAAAAGAGCAAAAAGGATATCGTTAAAGTATCTTGGAAAAAGCCAACTAATCTGGTACTTAATGAACTAAAGATATCCATTTAATGTGGGCATTAATGTGAGGTCCACAGACTTATGCCTTCTCTTTGGGCTTAGCTTCCTGACCAACATGATCTTCATGATCAATATAATCTTCCAAGAAGCCTGAGGTGAGCAGGTGGACAAGAAAGATTCTAAAGTCAGGATATGTTGCCTGTACATTACATGTGCCTACATACAGAACAGCAAGAATAAAGGAAGCCTAGAGAGTCTGGAAAGGAACTGCCGCACTACCTAGATTCACTAGGAACTAAGGAAAGTGTAAAATGGTATTTGGCTTATAATGTCTGTATTTGGTGAGACTGCTTAAGAGCACTGGGGCCTAAAAAGACACATTAGGGGTCTAAAATACCATAAGGAGTGTTGTTTTACTGTAGGGTAAGAAAAAAGATTCATATTTTTATGGGGGAGAGGGAAATGGTGGAAGGAGTCAGATCCAGGTATACAAAACAGCACCAGAATCCCCCCACAAGCAGTTATGGCTGGCAAACTCCATGGCACTTCAGATAAAAGTGAAATGAATTTAACACGAAAAGGCTGAAAGAGCTACTAGGAGAGAGGAATACTTAACCCTACAAACCAGGGATCTCTTAAAGGCCCAAATTCTGTAGTAAATGAATGGATAGATATCACCCAATTTAGGAGAAGAATACCTGCAAGAAAAAGAAATGAGGCCACCAGGTTTTTATAAGAATGCCGACTACCTACTTTCTAGTTTGGGTGAAAAGCTACTGATGAGGAAGGAGTGAGTTTTATAGAAACACAGAAACTAGACATAATAAAAAAAAAATACACAGCAGGTGCAAAGTTGGTAATGCTGAAAGGAGAAACTACAAGTCCATGTTGAAATCTGCTACATATTTTAAATGGCAATTAAACCTTAAAAAGACTGTTATTTACTACTGTAGAAAAGTAAAAGCTCAGGACAGGTAACCTGAGGTGGCAGGTTTATCAAGGAAGGGGGCTTGAGACTCTGCTCCCTGTTTGGTATTGGGGTTTATTTCTTTATGGAAATGTAAGGGAAGGTACACAAATTAGCATCCTGCCAGAGTCTGTGGGGTGAGGGCTGTACCCCCCACTCCTAGTCTGGCAAAAAAAGACACTCCATAAACATCTGTGGAATGACTTTCTGAAGCAGACAAATAACTTGGCCACTTGCTCTCAGACTACCATGAATTTACTAATGTTAATGAATTGGCTCTTTTGGTTTGTCTGCTTTGCCACATGTTTATGTGGGGATTTATGGAACTATGTCACTGAGGGCTAGGAAGTAATTTTTATCTTCTTGGCTGGAATAAATAGGACATGATATAAATGAGAAATGAGAGCGGGTAAGCTAAGGTTAGCAGGAATTCTGCCAACTCTGCGACTGGAACCGTGACAACGGCTCATTATTCGGGAAGAACTGGAGTTTGTGTTTCAGGGAATGAATCTGGACAGTCATTAATGAACTGACAGACTTTATAAACTGTTTCTTAGAGACCTAATTCCCCCTCAGTTTATATTGCTTGATTATTTATATGGTTATTTGGGAGAAGGGAGCAATTTGTTAGGGAATTTGTGTTAAGTATACGGTTGCTTAGATGAGTATTTCTGAACTGTATAACACTCAATTTTAACAAACATATATAAAAATACCTTCTTTCTCTATACTGAGAATAACTATATGACTGCATTCCTACGTCTTCTGTATATTTCTACTAAGACACCTTTATATAATCTTATTTTCTAAAATTTGTATTAACAGGCATTTTCTAAATTTTCCAAATATAAAGTTATATTAAGAAGCTATATCAATTGATGTTTTTTCAAACCACACTTTGCCTCCTAGAAATTCTGAGACACTTTCCCCCAACCCTTGGGCCCCTGCCAGCCATACCTGAGAACTGCTCCAGATGGGGCAATTTCCAAAAATCAATTTCATAGAAAATTTGCAAAACTGATTCAAAATTTTCAATGCTTTAGTATAGTAGTGATACAATGAACAGGCTTTCCTCTAAGTACAATCTTACTATCTTGTATTATCACCTACCCCACCCACAGTTACAGTCAGAATAAAACCTTAACAGGCATGATGCAATGGCTCATGCCTATAATCCTACCACTTTGGGAGGCTCAGGTGGGAGGACTGCTTGAGGCCAGAAGTTCAAGACCAGCCTGGGCAAGAGTGAGACTCTGTCTCTACAAAAAATAGAAAAACTAGCTGGGCGTGGTGGTGTGCACCTGTAGTCCCAGCTACTTGGAATGCTGGGGCAGGAGAATCTCTTGAGCCCAAGAGTTTGGGGTCGCAGTGAGCTATGATGACACTACTGCACTCTAGCCCCAGCAACAGAGCCAGATCGTGTCTCAAAAAAATTTTTAAGAAAAGAATAAAACCTTAACAAACTGAGCATAGTTCATATTAGCTATTTTGCAACCAAAGGTTACTCTTGAAGAATTTTCTCACATTATTGTTTGATATAAATAATAATGTGAGAAAATTCTTCAAATCTCAATAAATTGGTCACTCTGTGATTTGGCATGTGGCAAACTGGCCTGTGTCAAATAATCCTTGGTTTAAACTATCAAGCTGAATTTTGGGTCAATTTGTATAAAGCAACTGAGACAGCTATCTTTAAAATGGGTAAACTATGGAACTGGAGAAAGATTATGACTGATAAAACTTGAACTTTCAATTAGATATTGTAACAAACTGATGTAAATAAAAAGCAAATAAGAATGAGAAGATCATGAAATACCTGAAATGTATGAAAAGCTGCTTATTCTCACAGAAGTTCAAGAAACATACAAATAATAACAATAACTTTTTGCATATCAGATGGATAAAACCATAAAAGACCAGTAATATGCACTGTTGGCAGATGTGTAGAAAACAGGTACTTTCAGAAACTTAGAACTACAAATTGGTATATATCCTTTCTAGACAGAACTTAGTCAACAAATTTTCAAATTTAAAATGTGCATATTATTTTAAATAGTTTCACTTCTAGAACTTTGCCTTATGGGAACACATACACGCAAAAGGATAGATGTATTTTTGCTGAAGTATTTATATGGAATGGGAAAAAGAGATCTCCAAAATATTCATCACTAGAGGAATTGTAAAAAAATTTAATGTCCATCTATGCTATAGAACACAATGTATGTAATGAGGTAAAGTATTTACACAGAGAACGTCTGAAGTATTTGAGTAAAAAAAGGCAAGTTGTATAACATGTTTACTGTCATACAACTTAAAGAAAAAAAGCACAATTCTATTCTTATGTAGATTAAAACAAATACAGGCTGGGCA